TTTTTCCAGAGCTTCCATGATGACTTTTCCATGAGACGCAACCCTTGGATTTGATGTGATGGCAGCAGCATTGTAGAGGTTTCCAAATCCACCGAAATACCTCTTAGTCCAGGGGTAGACAATCAGACACCTGCGGAAACAGAAAATTTTATATAGCTCACAATTACTAAAGAAGAGTCATATATAGAGTCATATAATCTTGCACATTCTTTAAGGGAGAAACATGGTCATACCTGGAAAAAGCTGCTTGCCCAACGACCGCATAGTCGATCTTGGAGAAGATGTCCTGGATCGCGGTGCGCTCAAAGTCTGTCCACACAACCATTTTTGCTTTGTTGAGTTTTGCACTTGTCCTGTTAGTCAGCAGCCCACCACACGCAGCTTTTAAAGGTCTGTTTCGCTCCACCCAAAGATATGCAGTTGGGTGGAGTAGGACAGTAGGGTGGATAAACCGAGTTACATGTAACGCTTTGTACTTCTTTGTTCGTGTAACTTGAAAATCAGTCAAGAGAAAACAAGCTTTCCAGTTTAAGTCTTCGTCACATTTGTGCCGGCTTAGTTAATTAGTTTCATTATTCATAAACGTTTTCGTCACCTGATGTTTTCAGTATTACAGTTTTAAAAAATCATTTTAATGTTAGGGAATCACACAGAGCTACATTTTTAAGTTCGGGAAATTCAGAATATCATAAGAACACCTTCTGAATCGAGCTGACTCACAGACCAAATCCCAGTCTCATTTAACAGATCTGCAGACGTTTTTTTTAAATTAGCTTAATTAACTGTAAGTAAACATAAATAAAGAATTGTTTAAAGATAAGGTGAGATTAAAAAAAACCCAGAAGATTCCACTGCGCTGGAGAGATAGCATTTTGGTTTTTATTGAAACTTTTTTGGTCTCATTTTTCCATACTTCTATATCTCTTCCGCTAATTTTAGGTTGATTTTGGCAGAGTTATCATGCCCTGTGCTCACATGGGAACCTAGAAATCAACTTTCCTTCCTGAGGCTAACGGCTCAGTGTGCACCCACCTGTTGAACATCAGATATGTTTCAGTAAGGTGTTGGCTGCTAAGATATAACGTCATCATGTACAAGTCATCATGTTGGTAACTGACAGCCTTGCAAAATCTAGAACTTGAATCAGTATTTCTAGTCCTCTACATGTTTAATTTTGGTTTTTCAGTACTAAGCTGTATGCTACGTAATTTTTATAATATGTTCTTGTATAATA